CTCAATTATTATTATTAAAATTAATTTTTTTATTAAAATTAAAAATAGTGTGAAGTAAAATTGCGAGAAACACATCAAAACACTCTAATGAGAATTTTTATTTCTCCACATTGCCCCAATTGGATCTCTCTACGATATTATTACTGAACATAATGGTACGCGATAAAAAAATATCGGTCAACAAGTGTTGCAGCTAAAAGGAACACGGATAAGCCATTCAAGAGGGTTGAAAGACCATCGTAAAGACTGGTGTGAACACACCTAGCAACCGAGCAACAACCGTGAACAATCATGTGCGGCCGACAAAGGGATCACCTAGTGTCACTCTCATCGCCACAAAGAAAATTTTAACAGTCTGTCGATTATAGGAACGTGTCGATACACCCAACCCTTTGTCTTTCGGCTCTGCACTTCGTAGACGTCGATTCTATACGCGTGAAATCTCGTTAACGTTATTCAATACAGGGTGGCGTGAACGTACGCGTTACAAGGATTTTCTATTCTATGGCGGATGAAACGTATGGTTGTTTCTTCTTCTGAGAAATTTGTGAAAATCGATAATTGTGTAGAAACGTCATTTTCGATTTTTATGAGTTTTTAAATACGTTGTATTGGGATAATCCTGGTTAAAAGGAAAATTAGAATTGTTTACAATTTTCAACTATTTTCTCGTGTTTTTAAAATTGGAAGTTTTATCAATTATTAATTTTATAATCGTGTACATATTAATATACATATATATAATAATATCTTATTATTTTTTATTATATTTCTATGATGAAACAACTCTTTTGAATATGAATGAAATTGAGAATAACTGGAATTTATTTAAAATATTTGTATACAAAAATTCTGAAAATAATCTGGATATTTGGTAAAATTATCGAAACATAAGTTATATAATTGTAATGATTTAATTTGTTGTTAATTATTTGTGAAATAATAATTGATAAAAATGATTGTATGCCATACTAGAAACACGAAAAATGTTAAAAATTATGATCCTAATATTTTATATCAGATAAAAATTGATATTACAATTTTTTTCTTTATAACTATTGTTATAATTTTCGAGATATTTGAAAAGCAGTATTATTACATAGAATTTCGTTATAGAATCTCGTAATGAATGTCAATCACGAAATTTTTAACAGAATGACGGAGGACTAATTAAGTTCGAAATTAAATCACGATATGAACCACGTTTCGAAACCATGTATGTCAATCGATGTCCTCCTTTCATGATTCTCGACTGGGATGGAAAATTGTCTTTTCCTGTTTGCTCTGATACAACGCCAATGTTATTAATAAATGGGACAGAAATTTGAATAACTATTTTAACAAAACAGGGTACAAGATGAAAGAAAGAAAAAGAATATCTATGATTTATTCTTATCTAGAAATTTAGATATTCCAATATTTTTAGAGAATTAATAATATTTCTAGAATAAATATTATTAATTCTCTAAAAATATTTCTAGAATAAATATTATTAATTTAAATTTAATTATTATATTAATAATGGCAGCAATTCTATAATAATATAATTGTATAATAATTCTATTAATTGTAAAATACAATAATTCTGTAATTCCATTTAATATGATAATTCTATAATTGTTCTATGAGTATAATATAATAATTCTATTATAATTAATTCTAATATGAAATAACATAAATATATATTCAATCATATTGAACATAAATTTCATAATTCATATCCTTATAATAATAGAAATTATTTTTAACTCATAATTTGTACGTTAATCACTTTGCCATTGAGAACTCAGAATGTGATAGAAAAGTTTAAAGATTCCGAAATGATTAAAAAGAAATAAAAAAAAAATTGACCTCCTATTTAGAAATTTTTTTTAACAATCAAAATTAAAAATAATTCAAAAATTCAATGTCTCACAAAATTATTTATTAAATTCATTCCTCTTCAATCGAAATCTATAAGAAAATAATTTTAAAATTCATCTTCTTATAATCCCAGAATCCCAAAACTCACGAACATTATTCCAATCAGCAACGAATGCTAACAATGAAATCTCATTCCTCATTTCTTTTAAAGAACTTTTCAATCACGATGAATCCAGTTTTTCGCGACCAATCGCGAATTTCTTATTTCCTCGATATATTCAAAATGATTCTTTAGTAAATCCTCAAAGAAGGGAGAAAAAATTAGAGGGAGGATGTTGGGATAAAAGCGAAACGAGGTACATTTTTCCATCGAAGGAGCTGTTTTGAACTGACGTAAACAAACAGAAGCTCCACTTTTTGATTAATGTCTCCGAGGAGACAGAAAAAAAAAAAGAAGTCCTCCATGAAAGCTGTTCGCTGAGAAAAAAAGGAGGGGAAATAATGGAGGAACAGGTGTGAAGGTTAGGTAGATAAGGGTAGATTGATGAAGACTATGTTGAATAATGTTTCGATCGTTGAAATGATGAGATTTGTGAACAATCATCGAGATTATTACGATTCTTCGTGTATTTGATTTATAATTGAAGAATTATCATAAAATGGAATAAAAGAAATTTTGATAAATTTAGATTTTTAAAAATCTGGCGATTATTAATTAATTTATGCTTAGTTGTTGATAGTTGTTTATTCTATATAATGATAATCTATAAATTAAAAAAAAAAAGAAAATATAATCAATATAAAATTTTGAGAAAAAAAATTGATGAAAAATCTCAAATCTCGACGTACAATAAATTATTCCTTGAAATCAATTAACATTTCATGTTGGAATATTTACACCGTGTAAATATTCCTTCGTGAATAAACGAATTCATAAGAATATGAATTTTTATATATATTAAAATAAATATGAATTTATGAATTCAATAAAAAAATTTAATCAAGATAAAATTGATGGATAAAATACTGGAGATAAAATTGATCGAAAAGAAAAGAATATAAACGTGAAATAGAAATATAAAAATAAAAAAAAAAAAAGAGAAAGAGAAATAACTAAAATTAGGCTAAAATTAAATATATTAACCCTCTGTAGATACTTTTTTCAAAATATTTATAGGCAACTTATTTTTTTATTATAAAAATCTGAAAAAATTCTAAGAAACTGATCGAAGTATGACTCTCACTTAAGATACAAATGATTGTTAAATAAAACATTTAAAACTTTTTTCGATAAAAATAAAAACTCGCTTCGAAAAGATTTAACAATGGAATTTCCTCTCGAAAGAACCTCCTAAAGAACCCAAATTATCTACAGAAAATCAATTTTTAAGATAACATTTCTGTGACAGTTTTATCTTTTTATTGTAAATTTTAAATGAATTAAAATCTTAGTTAATGTAATACATTGTGGATCGATATGTAATAATATTAATGTAGTAATATTAAATAATGAATATTATTTAAATTTATCTATTATTTAATATAAAGATACTCAAACTATTATCATAAAAAAAACTATCTTTTGAAATTAGCAATTGAGGAACTATAAATACTATTACATACCATTGAATGTTATCTTAAAATAAATATGCACAACTCGATATTCAATTAAAGATTTAAATATCAAAGATAGACTTGAATCAAATTATTTAAAAAAAAAAATAGAAAAACTTGTCTAAAACAAACAAATGATTCGAAGAAAAAAAAGAAAGAAAAAATATTTTCATGTGTAAATAATGACTTTATAATGAAAAATCGTTGAATAAATCCTTTGATTAGTCTGTGCAAATGTTGGAGATAATATTACTATGATAATGAGCTATTTTTGCTAATATCTCTTCTAACAGAAATTCGATTAAATGATACGAAAAAAAAGAATGTTTTAATATTTATAAAACATCAATTTCTATTTTCTTTTCCCTCTTTATCCATTGTTCGCTATCAAATTAATTTTCGATAGTACTTTTTAATTTACATTTACATTTTAATTTACAATTTATACATATACAAATATATTTTCCATAATTACATTAAAAAATTCTGCCAGACGAATTCTTCATATTGAATAACGTATCTTAATAATTCGTAATTACTTTTAATTTAACATCGCTAAATTTCATTTTTCTATAAATCTACTCTTATAATTCTTCCATAATTTTCCTGTTCTTCCAATTTCCCTATCTTCAAATACAATTATCTCGCAAACGTTAACGAGACAACGGATAATCATTGATACTGTGTTGATTATTTTTTACTGAAACCGATTTTATCAAGACAATTCGAACTTATTAATTAAGAATACAAATGGAGGTTTCCAAGAGGAATAAATAAATCTCTATGGCTCGTCGATAATTTACACCAATCGATCGTCAAATCTCGCCAACAAAAGCATCTGCATATCGTGCAATTAATAATTCCTCTCGAGTATGGTAAAATCCAATCTGTTCGTGTACCAAATTAGAGGAATATCATGTTAACAATTACATCTCGAGAATCTTTATTTGGAAAAATAAGAGAGAACATCGATATAACGAGGAAATTTAATGAAAAACTCGAAGAACTTAAAAATTGTCAAGAATTTTATATCTTCACGAATGGGAAAATATATTGCAAAGTTAAAATAAATTAATTTATATATTGATATGCATTTAAGAATATATTATTTAAAATTTTTAAATATCGTTAAAATAAATTTCATCATGAAAATATTCAGGAATTTGCTTGCTAATATAACAATATTAATGGGTGATAATATATTGGTGAGTGTAATATTAATGAAGTGGAATGGAGTGGATGTAGCTACACATATTTTAACTGATATGTAATAATAAGTATTAAGCTGTTACTTTATATTATCTGTAATAATAAATATAATTTCTCTGCAACAATACCTACAATAAAACATTATTTTTATTGGAAACGAATTATATCCGGAAACATTAAATGGGAACAATCATTAAGTGCACGTGTGTTATATGGATATATGTGCTATAAAAAAAAAAAGAAGTACATCTAGATTTTTATCTTATTATTTTGATATATAATTAATGCTCGATGCTTAACGATGAATTACTCACAAAGAAAGTTGTTGATTCAGCTGTTTAATTAGAAGAAATAATGGTTGCAGCAGGATTCGACCTCCTAACCACCGACTGGAAAGTTCAGTATGGACCACAAAAATGTACTCTGAAAATGGATGTAAGTAACTTTTTTTTGTAAACTTTTTTAATTTATCAAATCTAATGGATCTACATTCCATTATAAAATAACTGAATAAAGGAATAATCCAATATAGAGTTTAATTCTGATAATGCAATGTTTTAAACAATTATTAATTTTAAGTGTACACATATTATGAATATTTCAGAATATCAAGAAATTTATTAACATAAAACTAAAGTAAGAAAATAATTAATAACATATAAAAATAAGAATTAAAAAAATTAGAAAACATGTCTAAAAACATGCTCAAAAAAGAAGAATTCGAAATCCTTACGACATCTAAAAATATAACTTATCATTTGCATACTAATTATGAAAAATTAGAGCCAATTTCAATTTACTGTTAGAAAATTATATAATTTTTTTGTACACACGAATATATTAATGTAGTCATGTTTTTAGCTCAAACCATCTATAACAATCTATCCCAAACGTTAATAATTAAATCATTCATCTTCCACTTCGTTTCTCAAACATCTCATGCAATCGAAACGATTTTAGAAAGCAAATACTACATCCATAGAATACGTCCCTCTGTCACGTCTAAGAAAACAATCTGTCAAGCGCGAAATACGTTTAAACGAATCAAGGTGTGTGCACAAAGGGTGAAGAGGGAGCAGTTAACAACGAAGGGACGTGGCTCTGTCAACCTTTCACGGTCTTAAGCTCTATCGATTTGATATGGGGGTTGGTTGGCTCGATATTAATGTGTACAACAAGCTTTTTGAACAAAATTTTAGGGGAATTGCCAAAAATAGGAAGGAAACCTTCTCGTCCCTCTCTCGACGAGATTGAAGACGAGGAAGATGAATTGACAAAGGACGTTGTGAAACAGAAAATGGGAAGAAAGGAGAAAGAATCTGGGATTTCTTTTTCACTGGATTTCTATTTTTAGAAAATAAAAGAACGTGATGCGTCTTTTATTCTCTCTCGTTTGATAAATCAAAGTTTGATTCGAGATCGAAGTGAAAATTGGAATCAGAGATAAAGAATTGGGATGTTCTCGATCGACAATCAATAATATTAAGATTTGAAGATGCGAGTTTTATGTAAAATTTTAATCTCTTTTTAATATAAAAATTTCTTCGAATTTTTTTAAATATATATTTTTCTATTACATAATATAAATTATTTATCTTTGAATTTAAAAAAACGTCATATCAATGATAATATAATAAATTGGGAACGCATAAATTGCAGGAATAATTTCCTTCCCAAAGAAATACCCAAAATTCCATAAATCTATTCAGAAATTACAACGAACAGGAATTCATCGAAACATTCCTTCATTTCTCTAAAAAGTTCTCGATCCCGCCAACAATCTATCATAATCGGAATAACACATCAAACGACAGGAGTTTCATTAAAACTTTTCAACCTTCATCTATATCGTTCCATTCACTGGTAAATACTTTTTACCAATCACAGAATTCCATTCGAATTTCTCTTAAAAGCAACACAAATGAATAACGAAGATGAATAGTCGAGAAATTTAGTGATAAATTTTCGAAATGGGAAACTACTGTTTTAATCTGCAATCATGGCTGAGATATTGATTTTTGTGAGACGTTCTTTCGAGATTTTTTCAAATTAAAAACTGAAATTTCTAAAAAAATAAAAAAAAAAATTTCTTCAATATGAAAGATTATTTTACATGAGAATTTTTTGATCTTCCATCGAATATTTAACTGCTTGGAAATTTTTTTACTAAGTTTAATTCGATTCAAATTTAAGAACTGATCTTGAATATAATAATCGAGACAATTGTTTCGAGAGAAAGTAATAGAAAGAAATGAAAAGAAATAATAATTAATAATTAAAATAACGATACAAATATCATCTACAATTTCAAACAATCGTACCATTATCCTTCGATAATTAACCTCCATCTAAAATTAATTTTTCTTCTCGAAAATTCTCAATTCCAAAATACTATATTTTGGATATTTCTATGAAACATCTTCAAATCTCTTGAAACATCTAATCTTTTCAAAAATAATTTCATAAAATTAATTCCTCTTCTCGAAGGGAAAGAAGAAACGATCTTTAAGCGTGATATTGATCGGTGACGATGCTCGAATTTCATTGATTTCCAAGATTGATATAGTCACCGTGGCCCGCAAAATCCGGAATCATGTCCGGGTCAGAATCAACAGTTTGCTCTATCGATTAGTCGTCACGGCCTACGAAAAAGAGCGGAAACGTGACCTTACTGACAACACCTGGGTAGGATATAGGTTTCCACGTGTCGAGAAGGGAACGTGTTCTTCGGGTTTCGAAGACAAATGATGCTCCAAGATGTGAAAAAATAAGATATCATAAAAAATATTAAAATGATGTTTAATTGTTCATGAAATGATTTTTGATAGATAGATAAATAGATAGATAGAAATAGAGAGAGAGAGAGAGAGAGAGGAGGAGGAGGAAGGGAAGGAGGAAAGGAGAGAAAAAAAGAGAGAAAAAGGAAGAGAGAAAAAATAATAAATTTATTTTTTATAAAATATTTCTGAATTATTATTAAAAAATGGAAGTAAATTTTTTTGTTTTGTTTCAGAGTATGAATATTTTATGTTATATATAATATAGAGTTTAAAAAAGTTTTTTTTTATTTTATTATATTTATAAAATTATTTTATAAAATTCGAATGAAAAATTGCACGATGTAAAAAAAGGATATAATGTTAGTAATTTTTTCATAAATAAATATACAGGGATTATTATATATGGAAGGCTGAATATGTTCTTTTCGTTCACTTATATCTTTTAATGCATTAATCGATGCATAATGTGGTTTCATATAAAAAAGTATTAACCTACTTTCAACAAAGACATATTAATTTAAAAGGTATTAACTTGAATTTTGTAAGACTTTGTTGAAACGAATCTATAATATATGAAACCATATTAAAAATATAATCATTAATAAATTATTATTTATTATTCAATTAATAAATTGTTTATACAATATTTTCTATGAATACGAAAATGTATATTTATTAAAAAAATAGAAACAATTTTCTATCTTTTATTTTATATTTAATATTTTATTTTTTATGGAAAATATACAAAGACATTAAAATTCAACCAATATCTCTGTCCTGACTTTCATCTCTCTCGACATTGTGTCGAATATTAAATTCATTTTCAAATATCCAAATTTAATTTCATTAATCCGATATTTACCCGTGACCGAGACTTTCATTTCCATTAATACTTTTTCCTCGTCCGCACATCGATTCTTCCAATATATATTTCGTCCTTTCTGATTCTATTTAAAATTCAACTGTTTGAAAAGATTTCTCTGCATCTCTATTGCTTTTCTCCAATATTACGAAAAATTGATCGAAAGAAAACAATATCCCAGATTATATGAAATTGATTTCAAAATGAAGAAGAAAAAAAGTCAAAAAAGAAACATTTAAAAGCAATTCGAAATGTTAACATCAAACGTAATATTATTTATTATTTTCTTTTTTTTTTTTTTTTGATTCATTTTTATAGTTATTTGTCAGTATTTTTTCACCTTTCCAACATCCTCTTTTTATATTTGCTATGTTCTAATAAATTTGGATGGAAACCAATACTTTTTGACTCGAAGCTCGTTTTGTTTGAAGAAAAATTAACTATTGTATGAAATACAATAAATTCTCTAACAGAAACAGAATTTAATGTTTTTTATCGTCGGAAACAAAACATGAAATATATAGGTTGAGTTTTGTTTTTGTTTATTTTCTAATTCAATCATTGGATTAAATTTTTTTTAATTAATCAATTTTCTTCAATTACGAAATTAAAAATTGATACAATTGAAGTAATCTTTATTAGATTTGTTCGAAAATTTGAATGTATCGAAAATTTTAGATTGCAAAACAACGTGATTTGTTTATTCAAAGAACTATTGTTCAAAAGTTTGAAATATTCTTCGATTTTTATTAATGAACACAATATAATACAAAGACTTTATTTCTCTTTGTTTAAATATATAAAGATGAAAAATTATGAGGATAAATTATTTTTTGTCTTTAATCGAAACATCTTTCTCATTTTTTTAATGAAATTATATATTTAATTTTTTTCTCTCGTGCCATCTTTTAATTTATAATGGCATCACATAATATATTTAGATAGCAATCATTATGTTCATAAAAGATCCTACTAATAATATATATAATGAAACTGAACCTTAAAGTCATAAAAATATGACGTTATAATCGTATAAAATATGATATAAAAGTTATTTATAGTTAAAGCAGTGTATTTATTTAGCAGTAAAGTCATACATAACTGTATGCACTAAACTAAGATAAAACACATGTTAAATTCTTTTATTTGAATTTAAATATGAAATACAAATGTAGTAGACAAATATAAAGTAATTTATCTTCTACATAATTTAAATTTTTCAATTATGAACACCGTGATGCAATTCTTTAATATTATGACAAAATGTACGAGTTGAACAAATTGTACATCACAATTTTTTTCTCGAGATACCACAAATCAAAATTTTAATTTTTTCTATTTTTTATCTATCAGTTTATTGGTCTACATTTTTCCCACAGCTCAGATATCTCCTTTTATAAATATCGAGCGCGTTTTATTTTCAACTCGTGACCTCACGAGGCTTGGAAAATCCCTGGAAATAGG